ACGAAATTAAAGTCAGCATAAATTTGAAGCATAAAACCTAACCCCATATTCCTCGTGAACTATGTAAACAAACAACAGTAACTTCTTCTTCTTCCATCTTCAGAACAAACTCGAACTTGTAATGTCTATTTCAAAACCATAGACATGAAAATTTGGTGTATAGGCTTGGCAACACTGTAGTGTATCGATTCTTCGATGAATCGAAACAATGGCCCCCTCCCCCGGATCAGTCACCCTCGCGCACAACAGTGGTGCCCGCGCGCGATTCACATACGCCCCCCCGCCAGAATGTCTCCCCCCGCGAATCAGTCACCCGCCCGCGACTGCAGCGCTCCCCCGCGCAAGGGTTACGGAAATCATTCCATAAGAGCGAGAGGGGAACGGGCGGGGCGAGGCAATGATGAAGGGGCAAGGGAAGGGTTAAGAGAGAGAGAGGAGTGTCGAGGCACCGGCGCGGCGCGGCGCGGCGCGGCGGCGCGGGGATGAGAGGGTTTGGATCGCGCTCGCGATGTAAACGTAGAAGAGAGAAAAGGAAGGAGGGAGAGAACGGGAGAGGAGAGCCGCTCATCCGTCCAGAGCTGTTTCTACAGGTGCCTGCATTCCTGCAAACCGCCGGATTTGCCTCCATGCCGATTCGTCCTAGATTCGTCCTCCGCTTCCGCCCCTGCGCCTGCGGCAGCGCGCGGGGCGGGCCGCATCTCTCAGTTCCAGTTCCGCATTCTCCCATTTCTTCCTGCAGGTGCGTGTTGCGAAATTACGCAATCATCTAAGGGTGATTTCTCAATAAAAGGAATAGTCGTGTCGCCGTGGGTTATAAACGACTTAAAGTCAAGCGGTTGAAAAGCAAGCTGATAAATCAATAGGAATTATGTCCCTGAATTATCCATGCTAAACAATATGATAAATTATGATTGTATTTAATAATATGAGACTTCAAAGGCCGAAAAAGTCCGGTCGGTTACGCGTCGCCAACCCCGACTTTGAAGCAAAAGAGCAATTTGCGTTAGTAAAGTCATTGTTGATCATGGATTCTTTGGCAATATATGCTGAAAGGAGACTCTAATGTTCAAGAGAATTATCATGTTGAACTGAGATGTTTATTTTTAAGCGAGGAAAGTAGGAAAGTCACTAGAAAGAATGTCGCCACATTTGGCAACGTATTTTTGCAGTTGTATTAGGTGCAGTCAGTGGCGTAACGGGCGCCCCTGCAAACCCTGCTATGCAGGGGGGCCCAAGTGCCTAGGGGGCCCTCGGCCGCCGGAATTTTTTTTTTCTCTCTCTCTTTGATGCTTAGCTTTGGTATCAAACTTTGGGCCTTTACTTACCGAGATGGGGCTTCTTTCTCTGATTTTTATTGTTAGCTCAGGGTTTTTCATACTTCTTTTGGAATGTTCCTAACTTTTGTTTTGCTGGAGGGCCCCTGCCTTCCAATGTCCACTCAGTGATTACTAAAAATTTTCTCTTTTTTGTCACTTTTCGTAGGTATTTCGGGCTTTGGGTGGCCCATGAATCTGAAGGGCCCACAAGGCCCTTTGATTCTTGGGCCTGCATGGGCCCCTCTGTAGATCCTTGGGCCTGGGCTGAGCTCCCGCCACCCTTTAGATCCTTGATCCTTTAGGGGCCCCATTTAATCGGGTACGGGATCCGGGACGGTGAGGGGTGAGGCATTCCAAGTCCAAGTCCGTGATTTGAAATGTCTCTGGCCAAAAAACGAGAAGTGTTGAGGGAAGTAGAGGGGCGGGAGGGGGGATGATTTTGGAATTTTATCGACATGAGGGGCCCTAGAAAAAATTTTGCAGGGGGGCCCAGCGGAAGTCCGTTACGCCACTGGGTGCAGTGTTTATCGCGCCAGATGAAAACCAGGAGTTTAAAAACTGCATGCCATCAAATTGATCGCTGATCAAGCTGATGAAGTCCTCTTGACTAAACCATTACTAATAAGTCGGCTTTTTTTATTCTGAAAACTTTAATTTTCATGAAAACCAGCTAGTGATTTTTAGGTAGGTAGCGCTAATTATACACCACACAAAATCCTTAATCTAGTATCATTAAACTAACAGGAAATCCTAAAAGTTTAGAGAACCTTTATGGCAACATAAGATTCCACCTCATATCTCAAGAATTGCCAAGTTTCATCTTTTGTATCATTTTTTATCTCTCATTTTCAAGTGTCGGTATCACGCTGTGTCGGTTACGTAACCGACACAATTTGGCAGTGCCGCCTGGTTTGTCTGAACCTCCAGTCCCGCGGGAGGAGCTGATAGCTGTGATCCAATGGCTTGTTTGCCAATTACTATAACTTTGTACTGAATCAACATAGTGCCTAAGCTGGAAAAAGGAAGTTTAATACCTTTAAAATGAGGTAATGAAATTTGTTTAAAATTGGTGCACTTTTCTTTTTAAGGTATTTGACATTTTAGATATTCCCGTGAGCTATTATCGTGAACACACCCTTAACTAAATAAATTACAGGAAAACGACCAGTAAAAAAAAAAAAAAATACAACGACAATTTATTGGCACAATTTTCATCAGAAAGGGTTAAAATAGTATTCTTGCGGCTTCATTTTTTAAAAAATTTTCCAGGGGAGTCCCCCCCGATCACACTATGATGGAGGGGGGGGGGGTGAACCCTTCTGACCCCCCTCCCCCAAAGTTAGCACTCCTACCAAACGCTTACCGCATAGTCACGCCAGGCCACTGTTTCTGGCGCTTTTAGGACTACTCGTTCTCCGAGGAAAACCGATTTTTCCGGCAAAATGAGAGGTGATAGTGAAAATCAAAGGTCGCATCAGTGGCGTGCGGTGGGTTTAGTAACAGGGCAAGCTCTAGCGTTCGCCATCCGGGGNGGGGGGGGGGGGGGGGGGGGGGGGGGTTTAACGTAGTCTCTTTTCCCTCCTCAGGGAACCTCCCTAGAAAATTGTTGCAATTTTACGGTAAGTATTTGCTCTATTTTTCGGATGAAATCTGATGGAACGTCTTAAAAAACTGTGGTTATTTATTACTTTCTCTCTTACTTATGATTTCGTTTACTCAACTTGTTTCGAATGTTATTGAGCATTAGAGGACGGCTTCATGCTCCTAACTCCTAATTTTGCCACTTATTTGAGGTATTGTAGTCTTAATTCTACATTATTTAGAATTTTTTGAGTTTAAAATTAGAAATTAGAAAAATAAGTTAGAAAATTAGAATTTTCTGCGTTTAAAACATATGATGGAGAATTTGCTAATTCATCACTAATTAGATCAAGTGAGCGAAATTGTATAGAAGTTAAGGGCATTTGCTCCGAAGGAGCAATTACAACCGCGACGGAAAGAGCGAGCAAGATAGCGCATCGGAGGTGCAAGCAGCGCGCTGCGGTGATCATCATGCGCTGGAGAATCGCTTGCGATCAGCTCAGCGGCGGAATCAAGGCGGGCGGGTAGAGCGGTACGTTCCGAGTCCGAGCCCTTCGCTCTGCGCGATCGCAGCTCGCTTCTCTTGGCCATCTCTTTCTCTTGGCCCGTCGGCGAGTCGGCCCGTGTTCAGGCCGCGCAGCGCGCTTCGCCACCTCCATCCGCTTTGCTGCTTTCCTATACTTTAGTGGCACTATACGTATTTCTGTTTAATGCAATTTTCATACTGAACACCTTTTATTATAAATTATATTTTCAATAATGTAAAACATGCATGTAACAGGTGTAATTTTCTTCTTTCTTTTGAAATCTTTGGGCAAGCAGTGCTTGCCTTGCTTATGCGTTGCTTATTAATTTTAATTTATTGAATCATTAGCCGTTAAAACTGTCATCTTCTCTGCTCATTTAGAAGTATTTCATCAATTCGAGACGAAGCTTTAACCCCAGGGCCAACGAGAATCAAGGAGAAGCCATATGGGAAGTGCGGAGGAACCGAAATTCAGAGTGGATCTTTACAGGTACGAGTCGTTTTTCTTGTATGTATTCCTTTCCATCGCCTCTCCCATTTTTTCGAAAATTTAGTGTAATGAACCGATAGGAAATTGTACGGCCGTTATTATGGGTCCTATGACATTTTCCTCTAAGATTGAAAGTTTGAAAGTAAAATGAGGAGAAAAGGTCGCTGATCATAAGAATTTTTGCCTGCGCCCTTTTTAAAACCCTTATTTTTGGTCACGAAAATTATTTTTTCGAAAATTTTGTGTTATGAACCGATAGGAAATTTTACGGCCGTTATTTCGGGTCCTATGATATTTTCCTCTAAGATTGAAAGTATAAAAGTAAAATGAGGAGAAAGGTCGCTGATCATAAGAATTTTTGCCTGCGCCCTTTTTAAAACCCTTATTTTTAGTCACGAAAATTATTTTTTCGAAAATTTTGTGTAATGAACCGATAGGAAATTTTACGGTCGTTATTTCGGGTCCTATGATATTTTCCTCTAAGATTGAAAGTTTAAAAGTAAAATGAGGAGAAAGGTCGCTGATCGTAAGAATTTTTGCCTGCGCCCTTTTTAAAACCCTTATATTTGGTCACGAAAATTATTTTTTCGAAAATTTTGTGTACTGAACCGATAGGAAATTTTACGGTCGTTATTTCGGGTCCTATGATATTTTCCTCTAAGATTGAAAGTTTTAAAGTAAAATGAGGAGAAAGGTCGCTGATCGTAGGAATTCTAGCCGCGGCTTGTCTCCACCCTGAGCCGGTGCGAGAAGAACGGAGTTCAGTGGTTGAGGCGGTTTTCTTGCCAAACTTCTTGAACGATCGACTATAGCTGTGTCCCCGTAAGAAGCTATGGTAAAGAATCGATAGTGCGATACTCGAACAATCGCATTCGATACGATATTCGATATTCGTCCAGCTGAAGTGGGGGATTCAAAATGGCTGCCTTGCATGACCTCTCCCGCGCAACCACGGCCGGTGCCCATAAATTCCGGTTCGCTGAATTACATAATTTTAATTTATCTAATTATTAGCCGTTTAAACCGTCATCTTCTTTGCTAATTTAGAAGTATTTCATCAATTCGAGACGAAGATTTAACCGCAGGGCCAACGAAAATCAAGAAGAAGCCATGGGAAGTGCGGAGAAACCGAAATTCTGAGTGGATCTTTAAGTGTAGGTATGAGTGTATGAGTCGTTTTTCTGGTATTGCTTTCAATCGCTTTATTTCAACTAAATCGAGGAAGCTTATACTACTGATTCCTCTTTGAGATTGTAGTGATGTTCCCATAACTTACGATGTTACAACACAACAGAATTGTCACAAGACTCCAGTGACGGAACATGTCTTTTTGTCTGTTGCTGGACTTGTCTTAGAGACTCCACTATGGACCAAGATGTATCTCTTTATCTCCTCTTATCTTATCTAGTCAATCAATGAATGCAAACCGGTTCTTGAAACTCTGTTGGTACGCCAGGACAAGATGAGGAATGTGTGAGCTTTGCGCTTGGAAGACCTTGATCCCCTTGGCCTGGGCATGCCGACAAGAATTTCAACGATCGATTCCTGTGTGTGAGACC